AACTGTCGCTGAACACTTTAGACGCCGCGTGCATTGCCAGCTACGCCTATGCATACTCCCCTTTCACGTATTCGTGCATTGCAAAAAATACCTCCGCGCCAAATCTGTGGGATTTTCATGCTGGCGACAGCAATGTGTACCATAAACTAACCAGGACCATAAATTAGCCTGAACAGTTTGGGCAACAAAAAGTCCAAAATTTCGTGGTACTAATATGCTAACAAAGGTATCCGTCCAGTGTTTGTGCCAATGCACCCGTCGGAATGAACGCAGCAAAAACAGCGCGGCGTTCAGTGCATGGAGGAGCATTTCCTCTGTATTATGCCCACACTTAGGCAAAAAAATCATGAACCCACCATTGGCTCGCTTCGCACCATAAACAATTTTACCATCGAATTCATCTACCGGTATCTGGAAGGCGCAATCAACGATAGCTATTGTTTGTCCGAGGTGCTCTTCAATATCGGCTAATAACTGGAAACAAACAAATTAGGTCGATAGGAAGAATATTTTCAAGAAAATACACCGCCCAAAAGTGCTATTTTTCAAGAAACGAATACCGGCAGTAAAATCTGATATAACACAATGCTCACTTTAGGCTCGTTGTACCAGATCGTACAGCCACCTTGCGACAGATCATTCGTATTGCGGCATTTCGGATTACCACACTTGTGATACCATACCTTCTCTTCATGCGCAGACGCCAACGAAATAGACAATCCCATTCTAAATATTGTTATTACAGGAACCTTTCTTGACATTGCCACCACTGGTGCATATCCCCATTCAGCTGTGGACCCATCCTACCCACCAAGGCAAGCATCAGGATCCACAAAGAGGAGTGTACAGCTTGTCTTCGAATGAGTTCCATTCTCTGAGGGTTCTACTGTAGTTAATGGGGGCTTCACAGGGGCCTCTGTTCTAAGGCAGAGCCTATGGAAAAGAACGGTTTCTCAGAAAATTTCAAAAACCTGACATTTTTGCGCCGAACGAATGTGATACACCTTTCCAAAGGCTCAAACTAGCACTGAAGGTGACTCTTAGCCAATTGGGTGGATGGAGAAGTTTTGGCGTCAAACGAATGTTACATTCATATTTAGGGGAATCGAAATAATCCAAGGGATCTCATTTCTAGGCTAGTAACTCCGGGAAAGAACTTCAAGAAAAAACCAATCCCAGCTTCCAATGATTGGGGCAGTGAAAGGTAAGTGACGCCAAAATTTTCATTCGAGTAGACCTAAGAAACGATCAAACCTCTCTGCTCGTCCAACACGTCCAATACGATGCACATATTGAGCCGCTTCATCAGGAAGTGTAACGTTTATCACTGAAAGAAAACCAGGGTTATCCTCCAAGTTTCACGCACAGGAAGTTTTCTCGTAGAAGTTGTACAGGCTGGAAAGGGAAATACGAGATGAGTGACTAAAGACTAGAGATTGAGTCTAGTGTACTCGTTGAGCGTGACCAGAAGAAAATGAAAAGAAGTGGTTTGGCATGATTGGCTGAACAGCCTTCTCTTACGAAGCAGCTACAAAACATTCTGCCTACTTGTTTGGGTAAGAAAGCACTTCTCAGCAAAGGTTCATTGGTTGGACAGCATGCCGGCCTAACATTGAGCCACTCTGACAAATGGCGCCCCAAAATATGCACGAGTCTCTAAAGACAAACTGTACACCACCTCCAAGGGCGGTCATTTCTATGTGCGAGGTGAATGGGTAGGCCGCTGCAGTAGAGTGCCACTTTCATTGCTCGAAAATGGACGGGAACTGGACTGCAGACTACTGGTACTCGGTACCGTCTCCATACTCCGCCCGCGCTCCAAGGTCCAGCGCGAAGCAACCATGAGAACAATCAAAGT